TTGGAGACATACACTAGGCTATATCAGCCCCACCAAAAATATTTTTCACCAGCCGCCACTGGTTACAACAAAAGATGGCCAGAGAGACTACCGCTAACATTAATAATCCAGCGCTGAGTGAAGGTTCTGCTGCACTTTTAATCCGAGCTCTCTGATGGGACTGATTAGCTCCACATGTGTAGGCTGAAAAAAATGAATCAATCTTGGACAAAGACAACTTTTATTGTCATTTTGTATAGAGTAAACATGTATACATCAATCGCACTTACACACACACACACGGGAACCCTTACAGCTAGCCATCCTTTATAATTGTTGGGATCTATCTATTAGCTTTTGATATATTTGTGCCTAAGTAACTTTAATCTAATGAGCCCACTCCCAGAATTACTTATATGGACAACCACAAAAAAGTATGAGAGTGGTCAGCAAAGCAATTTCCACCTCCTTACCTGCACACAGATAAAAGACTAAATGTAAATCCTTTCACTGTCCCACACTGGGGACATTCACTCTCTGCATTTAACCCATCTCCTTGGCTAGCGGTGGGCTGCCATTGTGTGGCACCCAGGGAGCACTGAGGGGTTAAGAGTCTTGCTCAGGGGCCCAAAATGGCTGTCTGTGAGAATAAGTGGGACTTGAAATTTTAGTTTTTTTTTTGTTATTTCATTTTTGTCTAAGCTGATTAAGGGCATAGAAATATCATGAATATCAATATTATTGATAAGCCTTTATTTAACAAGGAAAGTAACAATTTAGATGAACAATCTCAAATAAAGTGCATGTGATAAAGATAGAGGATTGAAAATAGTGAATACACAACAACATCCTTGAAGTTGCCTTCAAGACATTCAGATTAAGTCTCTTGAGAATGTGGACAATTTGCCTTCATGATGAAACAAACTATTGTATCCAGGAGAACGAATCCTGAGAAAGCATGTTCCCTAAGCACACCTGGATTATACAGCCGGGCAGGTCATACATGCATATTCACCTCTGAAGGGCTGAGAGAACCTCAAAAGGAAGGTTTTTGGATTTGCCAAGTCAAAGTCTGAATTTAGGTCTGACAAGCAAGGCACACTGGCTGTCTATGCTTGGAAACCTAATGTGGATGAATTGAAACAATCCTAAAAAGGAGAATGTTCCAAAATGTCTCCGTAGCAATGGAAAGATTCATTGCCTGTTATTGCAGATGATTGATGGCTGGGTCACTAAAAGTGGCATAACCTGTTATTAGGTTCAGATGGCAATTACTTATTTACATAGAGGTTGGCTTGAATAGGTTTCTTTGCCTAAAGAAAATTACTTCAAAAACATTTTCTTTTGTGTTTACTCAAGTTATCTTTTTATATAGGAAATGTCTGATTATTTTAAACATGCTCAAATTTATGGATCAAACACCTTTTAAACACAATATGGTTTAAAAAAAAAACTTAAATGTCTATTTATCCTTCTTTTATGTGATCTTAACTGAGTTTATTTCTCCCCCTAGTGCCAAAGAAGTCATTGCTCCGCCAAAAAGTGAGTCCTTGGCTTTTCAACTTTCTTTCTTTTTTTCTTTTTTTTTTCTTGCATTTTTATTTGCACCAAAAAGTTGGTCAGACAGATTCTAAAGGAGTGAGGCAGTATTTTGGGATCAGAACAGCTCCAAAGCAAGTTACTGTCAGGCCTAAATTGAAAAGAAAATGAATTTCATATCAGGAGGTCAGTAGAAAAGTGAAGATGCTAGATAAGGTTCTTTATTCACAGTGATTCAATGTTTGGAAAAAGCCTCGACATTTGTACTCACAGAATAAGGTAAGGCAACCAAACAGTTGTAGACAGGCAACAATAAGTTCAAGGTAATACCATGTACCATTAATCTAGCAAATTAAACAGGAGTCAATGAAAGGAGAGAAGCAAAAAGAGAACTGCCTTGGAAGATGTAAAAAATGCATTGGTAAGCCAGATACTGGTAACTGAAGCTTATACACAGAAGATGACAGACCCTTGATCCCTAATGGGATTAGATGGGTATACAACATGGATAGATGGATGGATGTACTTAATGGGGCATATACTGTATGATAACTCACCCAAAGGACGTATAGGAAGAATTAGAATTCTTCAAAACTGCAGACAAAGTAAACATAGTGAAAAGCTCAGGTTCGAGAGCAATAACTGTGGGTGGGGCAATATTATCCTGGTGTGGTAACTGTTTTTTTATTTTGACTGATGCATGCTGATGGGTTAGCAAACAGGAGGATGCTTTGAAAACCATTGGACTATGGGGTTAAACAAAAACGCAAAGATTTATCTTTAGGGGTTATGGAATCAACAAGCTGCTTTTAAAGGTTTAGCAGGGATTAGGAACACTTCAGGTCACATAATAGTACTGTAAGTAGTCATAATGTTAAACTTATGGACCAGATTTACAGAAGTCCAGCTTATTGTTCTCTCCACATGATATTTCTTTTTACTCTTTAAGAATAATTTTTGAGCTGTATCATCAATTGTTTTATTGAGGTTGTATCAGGGAATCTATCTACTAGATATACAGCATGTCCTTATGACAAGACCTTAATGGGGTCTCGGTTGAAACCAAAATAAAGTGAAGTAATTACTTGGGTGAGGTGTTCAGTAGCTAGTTGAGTCATAATCAATAATTTCATTGGGTAGCATATTGGCCAGAGACTGGACAAAGCACACAAAGCTAACCAGAAGGAGTTCTGTTTGAAACTATATTTTCAAGTTTAATAAAACACCTTCCGTTTCAAATGAAATCCACAAATATTTGAGTACAGTGTGTGAGAGGTTGCTAGCAGGGTCTATAAACACTTTTCACTAGTATGTATGAAAGGTGAAGCTTTTCACCACTTTATACAGTGAGGAAAATAAGTATTTGAACACCATCTATCCTGCAAGCTCCCCACTTGGAAATCATGAAGGGTTCTGAAATTGTTATTGTAGGTGCATATCCACTGTGAGAGACATTATCTAAAAAATAAATACAGAAATAATACAATTCTTTTAACTATTTATTTGTATGATACAGCTGCAAATAAGTATTTGAAAACCTGTCTATCAGCTAGAATTCTGACCCCCAAAAACCTGTTAGTCTGCCTTCAAAATGTCAACCTCCACTCCATTTATTATCCTAAATTAGATGCACCTGTTTGAGGTTGTTAGCTGCATAAAGACACTTGTTCACCCCATACAATCATTAAGAATCCAACTACCAACATGACAAAGACAAAAGAGCTGTCCAAAGATACTAGAGATAAATTTGTACACCTTGGATTGCCAAGCAGCTTGGTGAAAAAAAGTCTTCTGGAGCAATCATTGGAAAATTGAAGAAGCTAAACATGACTTTCATTTTCCATCGGACTGGTGTTCCATGCAAGATCTCAACTCTTGGGGTCTAAATGATCCTAAGAAAGGTGAGAAATCAGCCCAGAACTACACGGGAGGAGCTTTTCAATGACCTAAAAAGAGCTGGGACCACTGTTTCCAAGGTTACTGTTGGTAATAAACTAAGATGTCAAGCTTTGAAATCATTCATGGCACGGAAGGTTCCCCTGCTTAAGCCAGCACATGTAAAGGCCTCTATTAAATTTGCCAATGAACATTTGGATGATCCAGAGGAGTCATGGCAGGAAGTTATGTGGTCAGATGAGACCAAAATAGAACGTTTTGGTCATAATTCCTCTAACCATGTTTGGAGGTCATGTATTGCCAGATTTTTGGGAACAACCTCCTTCCCTCAGTTAGAGCATTGAAGATGGGTGAAGGCTGGTTCTTCCAACATGACAATGACTCAAAGCACACAGCCAGGATAACCAAGGAGAGGCTCTGGAAGAAGCTTATCAAGGTTCTGGCATGGCCTAGGCAGTCTCCAGGTCTAAACCCAATAGAGAATTTTTGGATGGAGCACAAACTCCATGTTTCTCAGTGACAGCCCAGAAACCTGACTGATCTAGAGAAGATCTGTGTGGAGGAGTGGGCCAAAATCCCTCCTACAGGGTGTGCAAAGTTGGTGAAAAACTACAGAAAAATGTTTGACCTCTGTAATTGCAAAAAAAGTCTACTGTACCAAATATTAAAGGGGAACGCTGTTTTTTTTTTTTTTTTTACATTGGTCCCTTGATTTTACGTTATTACATCATGTTCCGCACACCCATATGAGTTTTGTGTCATTTGGAGCTGTTCTGAAGATATTCCATTAGGTTATATCCAAGTAACATCTTCCTATGGGCAAACGACATGAAGGCACAAATTAAACTGTTCATAATTTATAATTTATGGTACGCCAGTATTCATTACATGTAGGCGAATCACTGTCCCCCAGACTCCCGCAGTTATATTTTTTATATTTATATATTTTTTTTAAACAAAGCGGAGTGTGTATGACGTCATCCGTGCGCACCGGCTAACGTTCATTCATCTTATCCGCTGAACTGCTGCTAGTTTTACTCACATGCCTGGAAGATGTCTAGTGCTACTACCACAGATGATCTCGCTCTCAAAATGGAATTGAACGATTCAGATTAGCTCGCCGAATGAATAGAAGGGGTAGAGCGTAGCCGCCTGTGGCCCGGGCTTCCTGTTATGACTCCACTCCGGATGCACGGATGACGTTATACATGCGCCGCTTTGTTTTAAAAAAAATATAAATATAAAAAATATGACCGCGGATGTCTGGGAGACAATAATTATCCTACATGTTATCAATGCTGGCATACCATAAATGATAAATTATGAACAGTTTAGTTTGTGCCTTCAACTCGTTGCCCATAGGAAGACTATACTTGGATATAACCAAAAGGAATATCTTCAGAACAGCTCCAAATGACACAAAACTCATATGGGTGAGTAGAACATTATGTAATAACGTAAAATCAAGGACCCAATGTAAAAAAAAGAAAAAAGACAGCGCTCCCCTTTAACAATTATTTTATCAGGTGTTCACATACTTATTTGTAGCTATATCACACAAATAAATAGTTAAAAAAATCATACATTGTGATTTCTTTTTGTTTTCTAAGATAATGTCTCTCACAATGGACATGCACCAACGATGACAATCTAAGACCCTCCATGATTTCTAAGTGAGAGAACTTGTAAAATTGCAAGGTGTTCAAATACTTATTTTCCTTACTTTATTAACAGTCTTCAATGCTTTGTATAACAACTTCTGAGTAGGTTATATAGTAGGTGAATGTTTTCTCTAGTTTATGAGGGACTGTTGTTTGCGAAAGATTTTCAGTACAGTACGTGGAAGACTTTCATTTCATAAGTGTATATGGAAGTTAATTCTGATTTATGTCCCTGTAGGCACCCCATATATAATTCTTTATTTATACCTTTGGTATTTGGTGGGATTGTTTTAGGCATAGTATGACAAAGTCCCAATAAACAAGCCTTGACATGCTTCCTCTTTAGAGGCGGAGTATTTTTGCAGTGATTGTGCTCAAAGTTTATTGTAGCTGAGTACAATTGTTTTGTTTAATAATGAAAAAAAAGGAACTATTGTGTGCTCTCTGATAAGTCCTTTGCGCTTTGACAGCTCTTGTAAATATTGTTTTTTGCTTCACTGTCAGAAATCTTGCAATAGACAGTTGGTTGTTTCAGATTTATAGGGGAATTCTGGATTAGATTAGTAAAGGTTATAAGCAAACTCTACTTTTGACCTCCATAACATGTTTTCTGTGCAACACCTTGGTGATAATATAAACCAATTTATAAACCATGAAACAGTATTAAGGCAGTTGAGATTAATTTCCATTCAGACACCAGGTTTGCTATCTTAATGACGGATTTTAGTTGGCTTCCTTCCTGATTTTTTGCTATTGTTTTATCCACATGTTTAATGCTTATTTCTTATTTCATTCTATATTTTTTACATATAGGCCTACCTACATTCAGGGACACATTTTTAGATTTCTGTAAATTATTTCAGTTGTTCCCATATTCTAGTCTGAATTTCATGTCAACGATCCAGATAGAAACATGTCTTAGAACCTTACACTATCATCCATTATAAATGATTTCTTTTAGTTTGTAAGTTTTGTTTCTCCTGTCTAGGTATCCTTTTCTTTATTTGTTAATTTTATCTAGCAATAATAAAAAGAAAAATGTAATAATAATGTCTCTTTTTAGTACATCCTTATTATAAAACTCTTCTGATAAATGTTGTCTCCTTTCTCTGTAGAGGAGCCAGACGTCCGCACCAGAAAGATCGTAAAGGTGGTGACGCAGACGATGGTCAATGGGAAAGTGATAGATGAGTCTAGTGAGGTGGAGCAGATTGAGGAGACAAAGAAATAAAAAAAAAGGGAAACATAAACATGGTTTAGATAATAAGGCAGTGTTTGCAAAAGAAACAAAAATAGTAGAAGAAAACATTATAACCTTGTTATCATATATTCAATAGTGCTGTGATTTTCAGTTTTACAAGAATGCATTTTAGATTTAAACTGAGCATGCATTGGCTACATATGCTCTTTAGTTTAGGAAAAAGGATTTCAAACATTGGCTATTCAGAGCTACTTTGATTTCTAACATTGTAAGATAACAACAGATAACTACATCTAAACTTGTCTTTTATTTTTACCTTATGTTAGATTTAAATACGTTCTGTTACACTTAGAAAAATCTGTGGAATTACATATTTATTTCCTCATGTGGTGACATTGACTAAACAAGTGTAATGCATGGACTTAGCTCTTTTATTGAAGTAGCGTTTATATTTCTTTTGTGTTTTTTGATGCTTTGACTCTCACTAAATAAAGTCTTATTCCAGTTCAAGTCTATGTCTGATTTCTGCAAAAGATGCAGTTAAACTAAGAGAAGCGCAGCTATTAAAATCATCCAAGGACAAAACTGATATCTGGGTAAACAAATGACTTGTGCAAGTGAGCTGATTATTATGATTATAAAAACATTTGGGTTCTTAATGTTGTTTAGAATTATATAAGTTCAGACAGAAGATTATAAGATTACAAACAACAGTATGAGTAAACTTCTGACTTTGCAATAAGTGATACAATAAATAATAGTTACTCTAGCAGTGGGTTTGGGTTTGTTTTATGCAGTTTTAACAAATATCTGAAATTTGACTATAATTTATTTAACTGTAATAGTTGTATTTTTGCAATATCTTAATATTTTTAAATTATTTAAATGAAATATATTATAAGTGGATTTCAGAATAACTAATCTATTCCATGAAATCTGGGAGATTTGTACCATGGAATTTAATTATCTGATTAGGCTTAGTCAGGCAGGTCATTTTAGGGTAATATCTTTGCTCATTTTTCTGTGAAACAATGACAGCAGAGACAGGGATCTTTGTAATAGGGAAAGCATTGAAAACAAGCAGACTGAAAGTTTGTTAAGATGTTATTTCAAAAGATACACAAAAAAAGTCTTAAGTAAATTCAAATAAATGTTCAAAAAGCTGAGATAGATATAACTACATCTCTTTATGGCTTTCTATCTCAGTCCTTTGTCCCTTTAGGCTTCCTTGCATTTCTCTATATGTTGCTGGTTCCTTAATGTCAAACCTAACGGGAGGGTCTTGAAGAAAAAAAGGCTGTCTGACCTGACAACTTGTCTGTTTGCTTTGACATGTGCCATCTGGTGGCAGGAGTTTGAATATCATTCACTGACTTTACTAGAACATTTTAAAGTTTTTAAATACTCCAAAAAAGGGAATTGATGCTAAAAAGAGCTTTGGTGTTATTTAAGATAATAGTTTATGTACATAAACTGTTATTTTTCTAAATGAAGCAAAAAGCATATATTTTTGTTTCTCTTAGATAAAGAGGCACATATTTGACTACACTGCCTTCTAATGGATGCAACCCAGACTGACTAATTCTTTTTTTTTTTTTTTTTTTACTTAATAAATGTATTTTACCTATTACATTTAACTGTACAGAATTTGAACACAAAGATATATTAAAAGGGGTGTTTTTTTTTTAACAGGTCTTTGCTGCAGAATTACAACTGATATTACTTATTTTCAAATTTGGAAACTTGCCCTGGGGAAGGGAATATAAATATTCGTACACAAGGAAATTCCCAAACACTACTCTTATTCATTGTCTTTGCATGACCTACAAAACCCTTTGGGGCTGGTTTCACTGTCATTTACAAAGGGGAGGTTTGCTTGACTGCAGCTATGAAAGTTTCTTCTGCCAAGTCCTCATTTGATGTTTGTTTTTTAACCCAAGCTCAAAATCTAATTCTACAAATCTTTTCCCATTGGTGTGCACTTTATTGCTGTGGTGGTTCTGGGCATCTCTAAATTGACCAATTTCAACTGATCAAAGATTTTGCAGAGTCACTGAAAGTTGAGTCAAGATCTTGCAAAACTTTGCTGGATCTCAACGCAACTGGGTGTATATTTACTTTTTGTTTTTGTTTTATATATCCCTTGCGGGGCTCAGTGATTTCTTTATGTTAACAAATGGAGGAAAAGAAAATGTGATCATGAGCCTGCTTGCCCCCGATAGCCTGAATGCTGATGTAGTGCAATTTAACTAAGTACTCCTAAACCTCAGACTACCAGTAAGCCCATTACTGCCCATTACTAATATTACTGTATTTTGGGGTTTGGCTTCATTTCTGGGGCTAAAAAGGGATTTGCACGGCCAAAGTGCAGCTTATTATGTAGCTTTAAGGCTTAAATGGTTGCTTTGGTTTGAGGATCTGTGTGATTGTGATAAAATACTCAAGACAAATGTTTACTATTCAAAATATACTTTTAAGCAACATAATAAATCATGCTAAAATGTTCAGAGTGAATCAGTGTTATTATTGTTTAAAATACACTATGGTGCCAAAAAATGTACTCACCCCACAACTCATTACAGTACGTTTAGAAGTTCCCATCACTTCCACAGTCACAAGTATATTAGAAATGATTGCTTTACCCCTTCAACATGCCATGAAGTGCCAGTCTGGTGAAACAGCAGGGACTTACCTAAAATATGCAAGAGGTCCTTAGGGCCTGGGGTAATAGAGCTATAATAACACATTTGGTCTGTAGACATCCTTTAAAACACCCGATAACTGCACTCAAACAAAAAACTACAACCTTGGTGTAGAGCAGACCAATGTTTGACTCCTGAGCAGGGAAGATATTCACTGAATCTAGGAGTCATAATTCTCTGTGAATCCAATAAAGAATTCTGGGTTTGGCCGTTGTCATAGGAACATGATTACCTCATGACTGCATTTTGTCAGCTGTGAAGTTTGATAAAGATGGGCATTTATGTTTTAGGTCTGTGATTTACTCAGAACTTGGAACATTTTCCACCATGACTTATTTCTGAGTCAACATATACTTTATGTGCATCAGATGAAGAGAGAGTCGAGCTCATAATGTGACTGAATTCACATTGAACTTTCAGGCCCAAACTTTGACCATGTCCCTGAGGATGCAACTTTAAATAACTCCAAACAAGACACCTCACTTCAATGTGATGGAGAATTTGTGGAGGAACTTAAAGATTACAAGAATGGCTGGAAGCTCTAGACTTAATTAGAGCCCATTGTTATTACTGTATAGATACAATTTTAAAGTAATGTAAACATGAAAAGAAGCTTTTGCTTGTAATTATTGCAGCCAAAGTGCTGTAAAAAGTGGGTCATAAAGTTTTGAACAAATAAAAATCTGGAAGGGGTATAAGTAATGACAAGAAAATAACATGAAAATAGATAAAGATCTAAACTCCATTAAAAGTGTTTTATTATCCCTAATTAGAAGCCTGTGTCATTTTTGACATTTTAGACAAAAGCATCTTGGTTAAATAAAAATAATTAAACATTTTATTTTGCAAGTGGTATTAATAATCTTGGTTTTGTCTGCATCTGTTACAGTGAGAACAACCACGCTGTCTTTTGGTCATCTTTACGTTGTTCTCGATGAACTCCAACATTTACAAGTTTAAAATTCATGGGTCATATAGAAGTGATCCTCGTTATTGTATTTATATTTCTGAGCAACAACAAAGAAAAAAACATTTTGAGCTTAATTTGTGTAGAAAAACATTTTTATTTATGGTCACATTCACTCAAAAACTTTACTGCAAGGTCACATTTTCCTTTCTCTGACAATACATTAATATTTGATGGAGGTTGAAGAAAATGTTATAAAAGGCAGAAGAAAAGAAAATTTCTTCTTGCAATCTCTTTTGCAATTTTCAACTCCATCACACTCACACATGAATCTTTTCTCACATGCTTGTTCTCAGATGTTTCGGTTAGCATGCTGTAAAACTGCATTTAACTGGCATATGCTGCTGCTCCCCTTTTCTCTCTTTTTTTTTTTTTTAAATCTGTTTAGCAGGCCCCAGACTGGAGGACTGGCTGGAACTGTCCAGCCATGCAGATTTCCTCCTGTTTCTGACGAACAACGCGCTGGATTGCTGGAGGCAGGCCACGGGGGTTTCTAGAGAACACAAGGGCGTAGCCATCCTCACAGGTGCCATCGTCTTTTAGGGAGCGGCAGGCATAGGTGATGGCATAGTTGTCATAGTCTGTGTCAATCACCCAGTAGTTGTCACCTGGTGGAAGGAATAGATGCAATTTAAAGGTAATGACGTTCAAAAAAATACCACTGTAGGATATAAAAATGTGCTGAACCTACCTCCGCTTGAGAGGTAGCTAGCCAGGCCCTGGTAGTTCATGAACATCTTTCCTGGGGTGGTGGGGTCCGGTACAGAGTACTGAGCAGCCATGTCAGCGCAGACAACCCAGAACCTGCAAAACCAAAGATCCAATCAATTAAGCAAAAGGATCTTTAATTTAGCTTTTTTGAGTTTAAGAAATATATTTTGAGTATATGACCTATAATTAAATCCAAAATACATTAAACTTCTAGTGTTAAAAACCCCCAAAACAAACCTGTTTCCTCCAGGAACTCTTCCTAATCCTCAATAATCCACTGCTTAAAACTAATACCAACCAGAATGTTCCTATTCCTAAATCTCTCAGCTTTAGCACATTTTAAAAATCTATTCATACTCCTGTCATCATATGTTCTTAAAGGAAGGGTTGCTCTTTTCTTTAGGATATCAGAAAATTATATTTGCAGAAGCTTTTGTGTTCCTGCCTTTAACACTTACCCAAACAGAGTGACTCGTCCCCTGGAGGAGGCAGTCATAGAGCCATCGTCATCAATGGTGTACTCGGCTGAGATGTTGTCTTGCAGAAAAAGTCCTTCTGGGTCTTTCTTCTGCAGTGCATACCACTTCCCAGAATACTGTGGTAATAGTTTAAAAAAACAGCTATCAGAACATGTTTTACATCATCCCAAACAATGTGTTTTGCTTCACTGGACTCACTCTTTTGGGGTCGAAGTCTTCTTTGACTGAGAAACTGTCTACAATGCAGGAGGCAGATAGACTGCGTTCAACACAGGATACAAAAACCAGCAGCAGGGCAAGCTTACAGGATCCCATTCTGTTGTGAAAAATACTTAGATTAGGGAGAAACCTGCAACTACAACATATATGTTTAGTCCTCATTTAAATCCATACAAAATATGATTGAAAGGAACATTTATTTATTTATTTATTCCAAGTTAGATGTATTTGATAAATAATAATGTTGCATAATTACATGAGATCTTTCTTTTCCAATATGTGTCTAATGTAGTTCAGCATTCAACAAGGATATTCTTTTTTTCAGCATAACTGCTTCTCATTACAGCACCACATTGTACCCAGCAGTAAACATCACTCTAAGCAGTTAAAAAATAAATCTACTAATAATAAGAATGAAATCCAGCTTCTCACCTGTTTGGAGTCTGGTGATTAAAAATCAAAGTTCTGGTTGTGTTCTCTCTGCAACAGATCCCGCCTGGAATCGTGGTGGCCTTTTTATATGTGCCTAACAAACAAGCTTATGACTGATTTTCATTGCTTGGAACTAAATAAGGTGCTTAAATCTAGAGGTAATCTCTTTGGGTTGAAATCCTTGCTGTAATCTGGCTTCAATGTTCAAGACTTACGATAAAAACAATTAGAACATTATGTAACTGACTGGAATTGCAGTAGAACAAGCACATGCGTAACAACCAGCTGACAAATTAGCTGTATCTAAACATGGGCTTTTAATTAATTGCTTCCGTCAGATAGAAATAAAAATACATTGATGTTTGGTCTTTTGTAAGCACTTGAAGTAAACTCACAGTTTTTTGACATATCAAACCAAATTAAAAGAAATAATACTATGTTAGAAATACCTTAATTATACCATACAAACAAATATAGTATACAACACATACGCAAACATACTGACAACTGACAAAATCACGTCACAGTAATTTTATATCTATTTATTCTCATAAATATTAAACTGGATGACAAAATCAAATGCAAAATTACATTTACTTAACAAGTTACCAACTAATATAGAAATATTTTTTACTTTCTTTAAAGTCAGCATTGAAACTATTTAGGAAAGCCCAGATGAAAATACCACTCATTATGATGTAAGCTTTTAAATGGCTGATTTGATTAGTGGCATTTAAAAAGTTCCGACTATTTAGACCTCTCTTGTTGTTACCGTATTTTTGTGTTTTGCATTTATTTGTTTAATTCAAATGTGGTTAATTCATTGATGTTTTTTGAAAACTGTCCAGCACTTTGGTGCAATTCCAAGCGTTTGTTAAAGTGCCTTATAAATAAAATTGACACTGAATTTTACAAAATCCATGTTAAACATATGCACAGCTTTAATGTGTTTGAAACAACATCCCAAACCCAGTTCTTCCTTTAAAGATGTCATGATATCAGCAAGACAATTGTTTTCCTCTATTTTTGTTTGTAATTATCATGATTTGCAGATGACTGAAGTTCCCACATTCAACTGTTCAAATGACGATATGCAGTTAGAATCAAACCAGGACTTTACACCACTCTTTTTTAATAGGTAGGTTCCATGTCCCAGAGACTCAACATGGAACGTTTAATTCATTTTAGTGTCATTTAGAGAGAAAATCTAATTTTCTACATATTGTTTACATAAATTAGGGATGCAGGGTATTAGGGAAACAGTCAAAACTTTGATTACCGGTAAACTTTCTTAGTGTTTAACAGAATTGGCTGTGGGACATGGATCAAATAATTCCTTTCACAAGCTCCTTCCAACAGTTTCATGAGATTCAGCTCGTATCTCGTGACAGAACCACTATAGACTGCAGGTCCCTCTGTTTGTTCTCATCATTTTTCCAAGGATAATGAGATCAGAGCCTTTTTAGTTCCATTTAAACACACTGATTGTGTTGTCTGTAAACCAGTTACCGTAGTAACTAATTGGTGCTGTATTGTAATAGTCCATTTGGAAGATTTGTTGTTCCCAAACTTTACATTCATGGCTGATGTTTTGAAATGTTGAAGCAACATCTCAAGATTATTACATGTTTTCATCAACATATTTAAAAACAGACCTGAGCTTTATCATCTATTTTACTAAGAGCACCAGTCACATTGCAGCAAAATGAAATAAAACAAAGCCATCAAGGTGAGGGCATTATAATTTTTTTTTTATTTTACATCAGCAATTAGTCTTTTTTTCCTTTAGCTTTAAAGATGGGTATTATTAGAACTTTACTTTTAGGTTTATCAGACCACAAATCTCCAAAGAGATAAGTCACTTATTTGTGTGATCATTTGAAAATATGAATGTCTTCTGATTTTGCTATAAATTAATGAATCTTCCTAATGAAGTGCTTTTCAGCCCATGTTTTACCATAAAATTTTTATTAATAGAGCACTGTAAGAACAACATAAAAACGGACTGAAGTACATAACACATATATATGTTAAATACATATGCATTGAATGAATAGAATATAAGTTCACCTATAAGTCAGAAAAAGTGCTAACCATTTCGCATTTGCTGCTTAATTAATGTAAACATTGTAATAGGAGAATTAAATAAGGGTACAATGACATAAACAGGCTCACCATTTTCTATAACAGCTTTTACTTTTTGAAATTTCTTACAATTTTTTTGAGATTGTAAGCAAAAATTATGAAATTATTTATTAGTTTCAAATCCAGTTTTATCTCTCTTTTCATCTTAGGATTTCACAAGCCTTAAAAGCAATAAGTCTGAGTAAATCATATCCAAAAACTCTTTGTAAACTAGAAATAATAGCAGGTCATTTCTAAAGTACAGAAAAAAACTACCAAAAATAACACTCATATAAATATGCTTACATACATTTTCCTAACTCGACAGTTTTACAAAAATAAAACCAGATCATTTTTTTAGACAGCTGATAAAAAAAAAAAACGAGAGGTATTCTTAAACACTTTTCCTAAAGGAATCATGAAAGGAGAGCTACAGAAACAAATACAGCTATTTCTGGCTCACTAGACACATAGCAGAGTTTACTTTAAGGACATCACTTCACCTCACTCTCATCAGGTAGAATAATTAGAACGAGCCTTTCTGCCAGCTTTGTTTCTTTGTTGAGGAACCAAGGTTTAATCCTGTAAGAAGTTGTCTATAAACAAGCCCAAATAGTACAGCTTGACAAATAGATAAATAAAAGAAGTAAATGTGGCCCTATTAACAAAGTGTGTAATATATCACTGGTAGCTTTAACTACAAAAAGAGGGTAAATAAAACATTTTTTTTTATGCAATTAAAGTCAGTCGGTCCCATTTCTGGCTTTGTCATTATTCTTAGATTATATGTATAAGTATACATTGTCATGTCTTATCTTCCTAACTTATCTATAGGTGCCTATAATCAAGCACAACTTCTAATCTCTGCTATGTGTACAGACAGAAAGGTGAGGCCTGTAAGAGCTCTCATCAGTGAGGATGTAGACAGTCAAGACTACTGATCTATTTTTTTCCATTGACTGCTGCAGGATGTTAATCCTACTTTCACTGCCTGAAATAGATTGTTGACAAAACACAGGCATGCATTAAGTGTTCAATGCAAACTCCAAGGCCTCAATATAAAATTGGTTTAATATGTTGTAGAAGTTACAATGAATGCTTTGTGGAAAGTTAATATAAGACCTCAAAGAATTGGGTCACAACAAAAGCATGGAAGTTATCAGAGCTTTCACCAATTAAAATAAATTAATAGAAGGTCCAGGAAACTCACTCGATAATGTTGAATGTTGTTCCTGAATAGGAATTTATTTGTTTTTACAGGAAGTGCAGTCTGGTTCACATACCCTAAGTTTTTAGGACTCTAGATCACTAACGTTACTAAATAGACTCATCTGACTCTTTTATTCCTCAAAATACTGAACAGGAACAAGTTCTCTCCAGCTCTGCTGAAAAACCTTTACCACCGCACACTTAACACCACCCCATGGACATGACCTATGGATGTACAGTGTACTATACCATCTGCACTGCATCTAAAAACAAACAAGCAGAGCTGATCATCATGGCTGCT